ACCAATTTGGATCGCTTGTTGTTCCCTTGTCCCTGGGTTTGTTAACACTGTTTATGGGAGTAGAAAGCCCAGTCTTTCACCTGTGGAGCGGCTGGTGGTTTTGAACTGCCGACCATGAGGATCGAAGCCCAACACATAACCACTACACCACCAGGAGTACAGTAGAGGGTCCTGGAAAGATTGGCACGGCCTCAACAAAATGGGTTGCACAGTGGCTGCAACAACACGCTCAAACATAGGAATATAGGAATGGCTATGAGAGGAGTACAGGGCGGGGGGTGTGTGTTGTTAATGGTGGTGGTATTTGGTTCTGTTCTATGGAGTTGTTAGGACTCGCAGCCTCTCTACTGCACCTAACAACAGCGTTTCATTCTGCCCGGCTCTGATGGCACTGGTAGTGGTGACGGCAGCTGGAATGGAGTCCCTGGGGGTTTGGAGATCAGTGGACTGTCACTTCCCCTTCCCCACAATCCATGCTTTTGGCCGTCAGCTTCTTTCTGCCTGGATGTGGAGCCTCATGGCCCCCCTGTGGCTGGTAGTCACACCCCTCCATACCCAAACTCCAAACCAATCCCCCTGTCATGGAGTGGATTCCTGCCCATAGTGACCCTATAGGGCAGGACAGGCATGCTCCCTGTGACTTTCTGAGACTGCAGCTCTTTATAGGAGGAGAGAGCTCCATCCTTCTCGAGAACAGCAGGTGGTGGTTTCGAACTGCTGACCTTTTGCTTAGTGTCTCCACACATGGCCCCAGTCACCAGAGCTCCCGTTTGCCATGCCAGGCTCCCCCAAACTCCCCGGGCCTGCCCACCCCACCCCAGCAGCCTCCCAGAAAACTCACCTGGACTATCCAAGGGGGCGTCCTTTGCCTTCTCTGGGGACCAATTTTCACGAGCATGGCGTAGGGACTCTTTGTGAAGCGTCTGTCTGTCAGTCAGCGAGCTGGCCGGGGGAGGGAGACAGCATCTCTTAGAACCCCCGGGGGACTGGCCTGGGCTACAGGGCTCTGGGCCAGGCACGTATTCCGGCACCCGCCTGACACTGCAGGCTCCAGAGCCACCCTTCGAGGGGTATCTCAGCTGGGGCCAAGTGACAAGCTCAGTAGTTACAGGAGTTAAGGTTAGGAGCAGCCCCTTGGCTCCCTGCTGAGTTACTACTAGCTCCCCACACACCCCCAGCCTCCCCTACATGTTCCCAGGCAGGGTCTTGGAGTCCCTGCACAGGGGGGGTCAGCATGAGAAATCAAGCCTTGCTCTGCTTTCATTTGCTGTGTGACCTTGGACAAGTCCATGCCTTTGCCTGGGACCCACTATCTCCACCTGGATGAGGAAGGGGTTGGGCTTAGACCTTGGGGGGCTCTGAGCACTGCACCAGTCGAATGCAGGTTCCCCGGGCTGAGAAGAGCGCCTCCACCCTGACCCCACCCCCACCAGCCCTCAGACATTGGCAATGGCTGTGCTTAGAAGCTCCAGGGGGGTCCTCACTCCCAGCAGGCCCGTCCAGTTACCTGCTCCTCAGGTTCAGCTTCAGTCCTTTTTGGTATGGCAGGTTCAAGCTAAGTTTACGCACACACCCAGGCCCCTGTGGTGCCAGTCTGCTTAAGAGCCTGAGATTGGTTTTAAAGCAAAAAAACACATCAGGAGGTTGTGCAAGGAGGGGGGCTGGGGACAGTGGGGAGGGTCAGTGTGAGTCTGAGCTGGCCCCTTTTTCAGGGACTCAGTGAGCAGAGGGCAGGAGCAGGCCTCCTGTTGCTATGGCGACCTGCTCCTGGGAAGCTGCCGGAAGGAAGGACTGGGAGATGACAAAGTGTGTTTCAGGGGTGAGGCCTGTTGTGCCAGATGGAGGGGCACCAAGGCCTCTGCAGACCTTGGCGCTTGTCCTGGCGACCTGGGGTCATTGGTGACTGCCATTACTAGCGTGGGGTGGGGTGTTTGCAGGACGCTGCCTCGCCTGGAGACAAAGGAGGCTGTGAAGCTACTGAATGAGCCCTATGGGTTCAGGCAGTAATTACCGGGCAGCTGAGGGACACACACACACACACACACACACACACAGTCAGGCTCAGGGGCTCACTCACACAGGGTTGGGGGGGCCAGGGGATGTCAGAGGGAACCCCACCGCAAAGGGGTGGAACCGTGTCTTCCTGGGCCTGGTTCCAGCTCCATCTCAGCCGGTGCGCTGGGAGAAGGGGCCCCCCGCCTTGGCACAAATCCAGAGTGCAGACCCCTCCCTCCACCTGAAATCACCGGCTGGCCAGGCACCCCTAAATTAGCCAAGGCGAGGCAGCCATTGACTGTAATCTCCCACAATCTTCACTGCTTTCTCACAAACAGGTCTGTTTTTAAATCCTCACCATCAAAAGGGGCAGGCAGCCTTCCCC